AGCTATCTTTATTTGACTGTGGTAATTGCATGGCATTTTACAAGATCTTTTTTATTAATTTTTTGCCAAAATGCATAGTCCACATTTTTCTTACACGCTGTTATGGAAAGATGGCATTTAGCTTTTCTATAGCTGAGTGTGGCTTTGTGGAACAGAATAATGTTAACAATTAAAAATAGTGATTCAAAGAAAGAAGAATATTAGAATATTTTAAACTGTGGAATCTCTGTGGTATGTACTTTTATCCTGCATTTTAAGGTCTTTAGCAGTAGAATAATCATGCAAGGGTAATACAAGTAATCCTAAATCAACTACATGCAGTTCTATCTTAACTTTGCAATTCACACCAAATTCTTTCACTGCACTAAGAATGAATTCAGGAAAAATATCCAAGGAGGAATATGGATTTAATTGTTATTGCTGTTCCATTGCTAAAATAAAACAGCTGTGATCACATACTCAGCTAAAGCCATTGTTCAACAAATATTTTTATTAAATATCTCTGTAGTGAAGATGAGTCCTGCTCCCCAAGAGCAAAGCAGAGCTCTTCCTAGACCACCCATTGCTCCCTAGGTAAAACAATTCAGCCAGCTTTTAAGGGGGAGATGCACTGGACACTATGGCAGCTCTGGAAAAACTCATGTTTGCTCACTGACATATTAAACTAGAACAACTATGTTTTAACATTCAAGTAAAAAGATAACAATCTTTTTCAAATCATTAATTCGACCACTAGCTAATGACAGCAACAGTGTTTCTTAACCGGCACTTTCCCAAAAATAACAATGACCTGCACAGCACACAGGAGGGAAGTCTCAGAAAACTAAGGTCAGTTCATTACAGAAGACAACGGGGGAAAAGCAGGCACATAGGAAGGTCAGAGGTACAACAGGAGCAGTCAGGAAAATAAATTGGCTAGGGTCATACAGCAAATAAACTGTGTGTCAGAGCTGTGAATAAAATCCAGGAGTCCTGACTCCTTGTTTCTGTGCTCTATTCACCCAATCCTAACCAGATTCTCTCTAGAAATGACTTTCTGGTACAGACAGTCTGAGAGACTGAAACATTTTTCCTACCTACAAAATAAATTCAACTAAAAATGTATATAAGGGTTTACTTCATACAGTCACTCTAACATTTAATTCATGGCTGCTAATAATTTTGTTGTTTTTGTTAATATTATTCCTCCATGTCAACAATCAAAATGTCTAAGTCTTCAGAACTGTGATTTGTCTATTCTATTGGGGTGTTTACAACAAATATTCAAACTTAAATCTGAGCCACTTTTTACTGGGGTGTTTTCTTCAAGTTTTGCCATTGATCAGTCTGTGTTTGCCTAATGCTGGGATATTAGAGGAGCTGTTAAAGCAGAAGAGGTTTTGCATGACATGCGTTGATATCCAATATTGGCCAAGACCTAGATGACTTATGCTTCAATTAAAAAAAAAAAAATAATAAAAAAAAAATCTTCATACCGAACAGAAAATAGCCAAGGGAGGTATGAAGGTTCATACCTATGAAACTTCTTAGGTAAAGGAGCAATAGGATCTACAGGAGTAGACTACAAGACATATAATAAAGACTTATTATTGTGAAATTGCTGCTTCTTTTTAATTGTGAACATGCACTGATTGTCACAGATGCGTGTGTTTTTTTCCAAACAGCTTTTTAGCAAACCAGTTTAGCAGCTGGTCTTATCTATGACTTCAAGTGTCCAACAAAAACAGGTTTAGGATGGGCTCCAAATCACTGAAGTCGAGATATTTCCACAGCATATTAATCAGATTTCCCAATAACACATCAGTCACTGACTAACATTGCTTAAGGCATTATCAGCCGCTTAGAACACACAGTCCATGGGTCGAGTGGGGCCAATTAGAGCAGCTTGCCTGTAATCCACGATACATGTTCAGAAACTGGTCTAAATGTTTTAAAGGGCTGTTTTAAATTACCTGAGTGTATTTGTATTTCAGTGGGAGATCTGTGTATGTATTAATTGAACAGGGAGATTCTTAGTCTGGAAAGTTTTTTCATAAAATGTTTTCTTTTTGCTTTTGGCAAGTAGTCTGCCGTGGTAGAGGCTTCCCTCTAGTGGACACTTTCTCTGATGTTGTATTTGTAGGTTTTAGTAATGTAACGGTTGTAAAACGCATCCAAAGTCATGTATTTGCTTAAAATAATTAAGAAAAAAATGCCTGAAAGTGATTAACTACTTTCTGTTTCCTGAGGACCTTTAAAATTACTGGAGCAGTCTTAAGAACAATTACTTCAAACTGTAAGAAAATGTAGAACTGCTTAGCAATCTTAGAGGTACATAAACTGCAAGATAAAGTCCTGAAAAACTACTTTTTGAATCAATAGTTCAGAGAATAAATACAACTACAAAAGCAGTATTGTTCTGTACTGACTGGTTGTGCTTTTTTACCAAACTATTAGTGCTGATCAAATTAACCTGCAGGCTGTTTGTATGGGCTATATCTAAGGGCATTTTCAGTATCCTGCTTTTTAGAGAAAGGCTATATATTGATACCCAGTTTGTTTGGTGCATTGGTTTCCTCAAAACATTTAACTTTATAATGCTGAACTCAGGGTTGCTATATAGAACAAATATATATATACTTAAACTATTTGTTCTTTTCTGTGGGAGGATGATCGTACTATTTAAAACTGAGAGCCTACCTTAGGATGACAACTGGCTACGTTCTATTTTCATTGCTCAGCAATAACAAAGGGCTGTCTTAGTATGAACCTTTCACCTGTAAATTTTTCTTTTTTTTCAGAATGTGACAATGAAAACATCCTTTGTAGCAGTGACTTTCATAATGCAAACTTTCAGCCCAACATTAATTGAGACCACTAACACACTGACTGGATTTTCAAGTAATAGCCTGGTGATAATGGTGTGTGATTACTGTTAGGGCTTTATAGAATTTATCGAGAATCTTAAATTTATTCATATAAATGTGATCTGGGAAGAAGTTTTCTGAATTTCAGAATTAGATGAAAACTCTTGAATCACCTTAAAGTCTAATGACAGTGTATATTTTTCCCAGTGCTAAACTTTTCTATTCGAAGTCTACTAGAGTTTCCAAGACCTTTTGTTTCCCCCTTATGGGCTATTGACCTGACTATGCCTCATCAATCATTTCAGAAGATTTTGGAGGCTACACAGTTGCCTATTTGGCATTTTTCATCTAGGGGGTTTTAGTAGAATAGAACTATTTCCCCAGTTTAATGAGAATAATCTCATTCCAGCTGAACTGACCTCCACGTTGCAAAGCAGTATCACAACAATAGCCTCTTTTGCTGTCAATTTCTCCAAAGAGAAGCCAGTATTTGTTACGAAATGTTAATAACAATATAACTCTATATAACACATGCATATACATTCATATGGCCCTTATGAATGACATTCTTCAGCCCTTCCTTAACGTGGACTATAGCTATGAAGTCACTGTTTATTTGTAGCTCACACAACATTCCCAATGCAGTAAAAACTCAGAAATAAAGTCAGTGGGAGGGATTTTCTGCAATCCTTTTCTGAAACAAGACTAAATGGGACTTTAGAACTGGGTCCAGCTCAAAACAGATCAAACAGTATGGTGCCTAAAGGAGACAAGAATTTGCAGGGTCCAGTGGATGGTTTATAAAAATGTGAGTAACACAGAATCAAATTTGTGTCAATTGATGACTTCAAGGATTTATAAAAGTAATTTACGTAACAGAGATCGTATTTTAATAAAGATGAAAATGCATACATTTTACACTTGCAGATATTTTTAGGTGTTTTCTTCAGACAGGAGGCCACCTAGAATGTGCGATGTGTTCCAAAATTACCCTATATACAGATTAAGTATGCCAAAAATGACACAGTATAAAGAATAACAGAGCATTTAATTAAAAGGCAGAGAAACTGTTCAAAATTGGGTGTTATAGATTACATCTGATATGCACACTATTTATTTCTTCAGTGTAATTTCAGTAACTGTGCTCCAAACGCCATTAGACTGCTGGAACTTGCAAATGATGATACTATCAATAACTAGGCCCTCCAAAGAGGTTTAAAACAAATAATCTCACCCATACTGTTGATTTTAGCAAAACTACACTAAGTGTATTTTTGGGGGGTAATTTTTTTTAAATGATTTTAATTCTTAGAACCAGTCATATAAAGCTGTAGGACTGATATGCAGGGAATCAGTAAGGATGATATTGCAGCACAAAGCGTTCTGTTGTGGCATCATCCTGACAGGGCTCTCTAGAGCACCAAAATGCTTTCAGGACAGCTAAACTACACTGTGTTCAAAAGCCCAGGAGAGGGCTAAGTGAGCACAAGGAAACATACAAACAAGCCTGAGAGCCTCCCCCCCATTTTTTTTTTAAATTTTATTTTTTCCTCCACAAAAGCTTATAACGGTAATATATGTTTGTATTACTGTTTGCATGTATGGTTTTTGTTCATTTCTTTTCAAAGAAGCAGTTTGTTGAGGAGAGTCTCCAGATTTTTAAATCTGATTTGCTACCTGTTAGAAAGGAGTGTCTAATGCTAGGAATTACAACAGCATGTCTTTTCACAACATAAGGAGTTCACTTGTATAAGGTAGGAAAAACAATACAGAATTCATAAAAGGAAGGTAATGCTAATTGTGTAAAAAAAAAGGGGGGGGGGGGGGGGCGAATAGTCTCAAGGCATTAATTATTCCCAAATAGTACTGCTAATTAATGTATCAATAACAACTGTGGATATACCTATTAATCCATTTCAAAGAGCATTCCTGCATCATCTCAAGTTTTATCATCCATGATCTGAAGAGCTTCTGTAAGGTTACAAAGACACAGAGAAAAATCTTCTTTTGTTAACAAGCCCTTCCTCACCACTCCCTGCCAAGAAAACACTGAACTAGTTGAATTAATAAAATGTACCCAATCTGGTAAGAACATTCTGTAACATGTTGTACACAAACTGCCTTTAGCTCATTTTGTTAGTAGGATTAATTTTTTAAAATCTAAGACTTTCATGTTAATCCTAGATAATACTGCAGTTTGGTACATTAACAATAATCAGATTACAGTGAATGTCAATGTCATTTGATCTTGAATGATGTAGAGCATGGTAGTGGAACTATTGCCCTCTCTTTCTACAGAAGGATGACCTGAGTTCACTATGTCTCAACAGCTGCAGATGTCTGCTTCAAGTCATCTTTAAAAATGTGGCTTTGTTTATTCAAATAATGATTTTTGATGGCAAGTCAACATACAAATGTTGTGTAAGAAATCAGTATACAAAACTACCTTCTACATATATACCACTGAATTACCACCTGCTACAGCAATTTTCAGATTTGTGTTCTCAATTTAAAAAATTCTATCCTACCTAGTCCTTCCAGCTAATTTAATTCATGTGCTTCCTTTTTGCATCTCCCTCATTCTCCACAATCTTTAATCTGATTGGTTGCAAGATGACTAATGCCTAGTTTATTTCTGGTTAATCTAATTAAGTAAGAACCTAGGATTGCGATGTCAGTGTATTAATAGAGGAAGTAATGCTTCCTGTAGTAAGGACAGCAATTCTGACCTTTTAGAAGCAGGTCAAAAATAAAGTAAGACAAGCTGCAATAATAACATCAACTCATTTTCTGATAATATAGCTTCAAGTAAGATTATGGCTCATGGACTGCAGGTAAGAAAACATAATGTGTTTATATCTGGTTATCTAATGGAGGGGAGCTTTGGGAATGGGGGGAGGTTGGTTTCAGCAAAAATAATAAAACTTTGGAAATATTGACTAATTAAATGCCTTGTTTCTGGTATTTGCTCATGAGAAAATCTGGCTTTAGGAACAGATAATCTCAATTGTTTACGCACTTATAACATTATGTATTTGACTTTGATGTATCTATATTAATATGCTTTCATTCTGTGCTAATAAAACAATACTTGATTATGGATCTCACTGTAAGTAATTGCTGTAGTTTGTTTTTTTTTTCCCACTTTAAAACTAAGAAATCTACCTACATCAGTAACTGAACAGCAAATGAGAATGAATCCCACTTAAACAACTAATTCCCATGGTATAAGCTCGTGATTTAAAAATTTATATTTACTTCGTTATGGGTGAGTAGACTATATCATCATAAGGGGATGTTGTATTATTATTTAGCATGTGCCATAATAAAAAAGCTTTTATGAGCCTGTAAGGTATATGCAGCATGTTGCTATGGTGATGTGGTGCTCCCACTGATGCAATCTTTAACGTTCTGTTTATGAACTTTCAGTAGTTTTTTTCAGTAATTTTTTTAATAAATCTTTGCATATAGCAGCAAACAAGATACTAATGTAGTAGTTCTTATTTTCTCAAAGTAGTCTTAATGAGCACAATTATTAACTAAATAAAAGGTACTCAACTGTGCTGTTGGGGTAAATATAAGTAACCATCACTATGCATACCTGTATGCCTCAAGATTAGTTTTGTTTAATAGTTATACTAACATGGAGAAAGCTTAGTCCTCACTTGAGCTGAACCAGTTCTGATATTTCTCATCGACTGTACTACGAAGCCAAATACACTGGCAGCAGGGTTTGAACTTTAGCTTGCTGTGCAAACAGAACCCCAAGTTAAAACTACAGAAGCAAATTATAAGGCTGAAGCACATTAAATAAGGTGAAAAGTGCTGTGATTGGGGAATACAGGGATGTTGCTCAAAGCACGTGTACTGTGCTCCTTGCATGTAAGCTGCAGTTATGCAGCATGCAATAGAGACGGGAATCTTGGGGGGTGAGGGGCGAAAGCAGCATTTTAAAACTGCTTATTGTGTTACAGATTATTCTTATAATAATCTTTTTTTGTATTCCAAATAAAATGATGCTTATATATTCTAGTTGTCTTAAATAAGTAAACAGTCTGTGCTATCAGAGACTGGAAAAGCTTTTTTCCTGTATGGCTCTGTCTTTCCTCTTAGGTATTTCCTTTTTACTTGCAGATAAAAGATGAAGAGAGTGGCTATAATAAAAACCTGTTTTGCATTCCTAAGCATTATGAAGAAGACTTAGAAAGAGTTTTCATTCCTCATGGAGTCATCCTGGACAGGTATGAGGGTAAAAAAGAACAGTGATAGTTATGCTAACGATTAGTTTCCCTCCAAATGAAGAGATCATTGACCTACTCTGCATTGCCCATGAGAAACATGGAAACCCTGAAGTTCTAACACTGAAGTTCTGCTCTGGGGTTTAATATAAGAGCCATTTCATGGAGAGGGTTCCTCTACAACCCTGGTGAAGGGGTTGTAGAGGAATCCTCTACAATATAACCTCAAATATCTTTAAGTTTTCATGTTCAAGTTTTCATGTTCTTTGTTGTTTAGATGTACAGTTTGAATCAACAACATCAACAACTGTGTGTCAAATGGAGTAGGGGTCATCTTGTTAACTGCATGTTTCTCACTAAATTTTCAGTGTCTTAATTGGACACAGTTTACTGGCTATTAAAAAAAAATAATCAGAATTTTAACTTGGGCATTATTTAATATATGGACAAATAAAAATAAACAGAACATTTTTATAAGAGTTGTGGTTTTTTTCCCCCCCAGGACAGAACGCTTGGCTAGAGATATCATGCAAGATATGGGAAACCACCACATTGTTGCACTCTGTGTCCTTAAAGGAGGCTATAAATTCTTTGCTGATTTGTTGGACCATATAAAAGCACTAAATCAAAATGGTGATAAATCTGTCCCCATTACTGTGGATTTTGTGAGAATAAAAAGCTACTGTGTAAGCAAGCTTCTTTTTCTTTGGAAAATTGATTCTCCCCATCTATTATCATCTTGAATACTAGTAGTTTACATGAAAACTCCAGGAAAATTGAGTTTACGCATGTATTCTGTTCAAAAAAACTTAGTTGCTTTTCAGTATGTAATAAACTGACTTACTGATCTGCCCAAATGATCAGAGGGATATTGTATATTCACTGGAATTAAAATATAGAAGACCGTTAATGTGACAAAGTCAATGTTGGGTCACCAATGTCCTCTTCTTGAGCCTAAAGTTTTCATATAGGTTCTATTCTCTTTAATGTGGCACTCTTTGGTGAAAGGGAGAATAAGCATCAGGGACTTGCTTATTGTCTCCATCTTTATTACTTTCTGTTCCTACAGATGATGTTGGAAAGATTTGTTTTTGTAATTTGAATGTTGGGGAAGAGGTATGTTTTGCCTGAGCCAACTACAGTAAAGCAATGACTTGTGGTATATTTTCTGTTTTATTTTCTTCCCTCTTTGAAGGCTCAAGTGCTGTGCGCTGATCAAAATTTATCACATACTAAATACAACAATTTACAATATCCTATAAATACTTCATGGAATTCTAAAACAAATCTGTGGTAACAAAAGTAGCTGAAAGCAATGGTGTCTATTCCAGGAATATGGATGTAATCTTGTTCAGAAGTGCTCCATGCAAACATGTCTGTACTGATGCTTCACACCCTTGTCTTGCTCTCAACTACTTAAAAGCTGTTTTACTGAAGGAGTGCCAGTGCCATGTATAGTAGTTGCAAGTGTCATTTGTCAGGTGAAGAGCCAGAGCAGCATTTCATAGAAATGCTATAGCATAGCAGCTATTCGTAGAAATACTAGGTAATTATTTGAGTATATTTTATGTGAATTCTCCCCTCTCCTTTCTCCTAGAAGGATACACCTACAGAAAAAATGAGTATTGTTGGAGAACTGTCTACACTAAATGGGAAGGTATGAACTAGGATCTTCAGTTTTTCAGAGGAAAGAACAGTTCTTTTGTATCTTTGAGGAAGTCCACTTTTAAGATGTTGGTACTACATATTTACAGACATTTCAAGCTAGTTTAAAACTTTACACTTGATAAAACATTAATTCCCACCATCTCAGTGGAAATAACATGATTAGTACTGAATGTTTCTAAAGATCCTGTTCTGTTTTATATCACAACCTCCATCTTAAACTGACTCTTGCGATATGTTCTCAGAATGTTATTGCTATACATAAATATTATATAAAACCTGGTATAAGTGGCTTTCTCACAATATTTTAAGTTTATATAAACACTTTCCAAAAGACTTGTGAGAAAGCACTAAATCTAAGTTATTATGTGACAAGTTCCTTTGAAAATTGATTGCACTATCAGCTTCAGTTACAACTAAGTTGCAAATGCTTTTTGGCTGTTTAATTCACTGAAATGATGCAATGTAACACTTTTATTTTTCATTTTCTTTCTCTCTATGTGATCTAGAATGTGTTAGTAGTAGAGGTGAGTAAAGAAACCGAAGTCTTTTTTGGGGCATGGGGTAACATTTGTTTTTTTTAACCTGTTTTCCAAATTAATGCTTGCTGCACATAAAACACTTAATTATATGTAAATTAAAGTATGCAGATATGTTAATGTGTTGCTGCTCTTTATGTTTTAAATTAATCCACTGATAGTATACTTTTTCTTTCAGACTAGGAAGATAAATTACTTTTTTTTTTTTTTTTTGAGGATATTATTAAGACTGGTAGAACAATGAAGGCACTACTTTCAGAACTAAAAGACAATGAACCAAAGATGGTAAAAGTTGTAAGGTATAATGACACATCCATTTACTAATAAGATATAGAAAAGTCACTCAGCTGAATTGTCAGGGTATGCTGGTATGTGGGTTTGTTTTCCTTTCCCCCCCCCCCCTTTTTTTTTTTTATGATTTGCGGGAAGTAGTAGTAAAAGCAGGAAACAATTCTTATAACAGCTGGTGAAAAACAAAACATTTATTAAACTGGGAAGCTTACACGTATACTAATCTGTTCATTGTTAAAACCAGTAACAAGGGCTTCACAGCTTTTTTGCTTGGTCCTCAAAGCCTGATTCTCTCCTTCTTATCTTTGAAAGAAAGTTCATCTCTTTCCATAGGCTCCCTAATACCTTCTAGCTGCCTCCATACTAGAATGACAACACTCAAGACTTTTTTTTTTCCCCCCTCGATATCCTTAGATGTGTGAGTCTGCAGAGTCTAAGTGTTTGTCAACAGCTGCAAAATGACTTCAACCAGTGTTCTAGAGCATTTAGAGCAGGCATCTGAAAGACAATTGTCTAAAAGACAATTCCCAAATAATTCTTCTCACAAGTAATCATGATGCTTCGGAAACATGTTTTTTGGGTTTTATGCTCCTCCTAGTAACTGTCCAGTAGGTTCACAGTGTTTTCAGAAATGCCCAGGAAAATCAAGGATGAATATGACTTTGTTGCAGAAATTGTAGTGTCATAGCGTCAACTGACAGCTTGCCTTTTTGCTTCCTTCCCTCACCACTAAAATCTTTACATACCACTTGAACATATATGTCTGTACTATCCTAGTTTGCTAAAAAAGAATGAAAAGAATTGAAAGAATGAACCTAGATCAGAGCCTTAATTTATTGTTTCATTATAAGGCTGAAAGAAACTTGTAATCTGTTAAATAATGAATTATTTATTTTTTTTAACTGCACAATTGTAGATGTTTATTGGGATGGGTGGGAGGAAGTGAAGTATACAGTTTGGAATAAGACATCTTAAAACCATAACCTTCTCTCCTCTTTCTTACAGCTTGCTCATCAAAAGGATATACCGAAGTCCAGGCTATAGACCAGACTGTAAATATTGCATTTTTTTGCTTATCCAAAATAAGACTTCATCTTTTCATTTCATGCCACTTTTCATAAATGAAAATTAATGCATGTTTCAGGAAGGCCAAAAGAAATGAAGAAAAAGTACATAAATGCCTTAAAGCTGACAGCCAACTGTCCCCTGCTGTAACCTTTTGATAACTTTTTTGGTGTTCGTTTTGAATGTAGTTTTAGTTAGTCATTGCTATATACCAGGAAGAGAATCAAACATTAACTCTGAATTGTTTGGCTTTGACCCTAGAAGGCATTTGTTTTGACTCTGGTTCAAACTCAACTGGTTTTCAAAGTGAAAAATGAATTGCAGTACATCCATTTTTACATAAGTAAAATCTTCTTCATTGTCTCTTCTCCAAGGATTGCCTCCTAAGTAGGTTTTAAATTATGTATTTTAGGAAAAAAAATAAATCTTTAAAAGTAATAGTAACTGATGATGTAGAGTCTAACCTTTCTCATCAATTTACAGTTTTGATTCTTAGTGTTAAGTGTGTGAAGTTTCTTGAAAGCAAGATGAAATATTTGTTAGGTGTTACACTAAAATAGCAGAAGCACATGTTGAATACAAACTGTGTGTTTAAAACCTATTTACACAACCTAAGTATAAAAAAGAGTTGCATTTTGTTACAGACATAGGTTTTGAAATTCCAGATAAGTTTGTGGTTGGATATGCTCTTGACTATAACGAATACTTCAGAGATCTCAATGTAAGTACACAGAAGTGTGCTTTGACTGTTATGTACGTGAGTGTTACCACAGATAACTAGCAGAAAATATTAGTTTCTACTAGGAGATTCTGGTCAATTAATAAAACTTTTAATCTGACTTGATGCCTCCATTAAAAGAGTGACAACATTATTAATATGCCAAGATGGCAGTTTAATGTAAATGCATGATACCATGTTCATGCCTTACCTTTTTATGCATCTATTCTACAAGTCTTGTGGCTCAGCCTTTCTGTACAGTATTTTGAATCCTCCAAGATGTTTTTCAGCATGTAATCTGCTGGCCCCATCTGAAAAGAAAGTAACTTGTAATTTGGTGTTGATTTCATGTTTGTATTAGAAAAGAGCAGCATAAGATTTCACTAGTAAAAAATTTTGAATGGTAGTAAACTGGACTGTGTGTGAAGGTGTTTCCTACACTGTAAAGTATGCACCTCAAGACCTTTTTACTTTGTTCCATTATAGTCTCCCTATGCTGCACTGAGTAGTAAACAGACCCTGATAGAAAGAGTTGATCTTTTTTCCCCTTCCTACTGTTTAAAAGCATCTTCATAAATATGGATAAGTGGAAAAGTGTCTCACTTGAAAGTCTTTGAGAAAAAAACAGTTCTGTAGAAGACACATAACAAATCTGCATTATTGCAAAGCAGTGTGGAGAAGGGCATGATAAATGAACAAAACTGGCCTCTTCCAGAATACACAACTTCTCTGTGAATTAGATGAACTTTGAAGCAATAGTAACACTTCAATTTTACAGCTAGTAAAGTTGCAACCCAACTCGCAAAGCATAATGTCTTAGTTCCAATATTAGAACACAACCATGAATAAAACTGAAAATAATTCTTGTGTTTATTTGAAGGTACAGATTAATTGAAGTTGTACTTTTTTTTTTTTTTTTTTTTTTTTTTTTTTTTTTTTTTTAGCACATCTGCATTCTGAAAGAGAGAGCCAAAGAGAAATATAAAAGTAATGTCAGACTTCTGGAGTAACAGTGTGGATGAATTTGGTAACCTGCTACTCATGACTGTTTCACTGAAGAACTGCATGTTCCTAAGGATGCTCTTTTGTATATTTTTCCTATAATGTTATGTGAAACAGCTTAAGAAACATGAATGATTAAGTTTCAGTGAAACCTTAACAAAATGTTGGCCATAAAATAGATATATTCTACTGGAATCATAGGAGATACTGCCAGGACTTGCACATGTGTATATAACTATGTCTGGGCTTTTATTTACTATAATAAGTAACACATCATGTACATTGTATAAAAAAATTGTTACTTAAAATATATACACCTGGATAACACTGGAAAAAATAACCATCATGGTAATTAAAGTGAGATTAGTACTTCAGCATTCCATGTCACTTTATGTGGTGTTTATTTTTATTGTTTGCTGAGGGAAGAGGTCTCACCTTTCTCACATTGTTGTGACCTTAGTTGAAATTCAATAAACAAATTATTAGCTGTTAAACCTGGTGATAAACCATTATCACATGAAAATACTTCAGCGAGCCACCTGTTTGCTCCTAATGAGAACTGGCTGTTATACGGCCCAGACACTGCAACAACGTTGAGATGCTGACGCCTCGTTGTTTCTTTCCTACAGTAAATGATTAAAACAGGCTTTGAGACCTTATTTCTTTGCTTTTGTGCACCTAAGCACTAAGCTAGCAGTCTGTGCTTAAGAAGTTTTGCTGATGCCACTCAGCTTTTAGCACAGCCCTAGGCTACAGCTAAGAAGGCTGACGTGTCAGTGGTGCTTTCCTGGCGGTCGGGGGCTGTCATGGGTCTCGTTACCAGCTCCTTACACCTGGCAGAGGAGGAAACGAGCGCCCTTACCCAAAGCAGGAGTGGGGGCGGCACCGCCTTCTCCCCTCTGAGGGAGGGCGGGGGCGCTGGCTGGCAGGCCACGACGCCGAGCCTTCCCCGGCTTTCTGCTTTTCCCAGCGGGAGCGTACGCGTGTCAGCTGCCTGTGCCCGGGGCAGTACAAAGCTGGGAAGTTGCCGTCGACCTGTCCTTGGCCGCAGCCGCCCGGCCCAGCCCTCCCATCAGCGCCCCCCTCAGGCCACAAAATGGCCGTCCGTCCCTGAGGTAACCCCAATTTGCCGCTCGGCGCGCCCTCCGCCAATCAGAAGGCGGAGCCGGCGGGCGCGCGCGCTGATTGGAGGGAGCGGCCGTCGGTCAGTGGGTAAGGGCGGGGAGAAGGCAAGGGAAAAGGCCGCTCTCGGGGGGGGCAGACAAAATGGCGGCCGCGGAGCGGGAGGCGGAGGCGAAGGGGAGGTAGCGGCCCTCCGCGGCCCGGCCCCGGCGCGGGGGATGCTGCAGCCCGAAGGAGGGGAGCGGAGGGCTGAGGGGGGCTCCCTGGGCCGGATGAGAGGGGAAGGTGCCGGCTGCGAGGCGGTGCCGCAACCTCTGGGCTTGCCCCGGGGCGCCGCAGCGTGTGTGTGTTTGCTTCCAGAGAATGCCCGAAGGAGGAGGCGAGGCGCCGCTTGAGGGAGCTGGACGTGGCCGACAAGTTCTCCCGCTTGCCGCTACCCAAAGCCTCGGTGCTGCTGCCGCTGGTGGTGCGGGCCGGGCGGCTGTGCTTGCTGCTCACCCTGAGGGCCCCGCAGGTGTGTGTCCGTGCTCTGCGCTCCGTGTAGGTGGGAGGCACCCATGGGTGCCCTGGGGACAGCCCCGGTCGGTAGGATGGTAGCAGATGGCTTCCAGGTCAGAAAAGGACGGGGTTATGCTGTTTGTTGTGGCTTAAGAGAGAAAACCGAATGGTAAGCAGTTCTTAGATGAAACAAACTGGTTATATTTAACAGTAGTACTCCTTTAAATTCTAGCTGAGAAGATCACCAGGGGAAGTGTGTTTTCCAGGAGGTAAAAGTGAAGAAAACGATAAAGATGAAATTGATACTGCTCTCCGAGAAGCCAAGGAAGAAGTGGGACTCCCGCCAGAGAAGGTGGAAGTCATCTGTAGGCTTGTGCCTGGAATCGATAAAGTAAGCAATAAGCTGTCTAAATCAGCATATCGTTTGAAAGTAAGCTTAGGGTACTTTGCTTTTGTAAGGTTGATAATGACCTTTTCAAACCTGTAACTAAATAACTGCTGCTGCTTAAAGTACACAGCCTTTGTAGCCAGCAGAGGAGGGGAAGAGTTTTTTGCTCTCTGGCATTTGTCAGGTCATGTTTGCTCCTGTGTGGACTCCAAATGTGAATCCCAGAAAGACACTGGCAAACTGGTGAGAGTATAGCAAAGAGCAATGGAGGTGCTAGAAGGGTCTGGAGCAAACAGAATAGGAAGAAAGGCTGAGAGAAGTGGGTTTGCTCAGCTTCAAGTTGGTGGAGAATCCAGTTGCTGTCTCTAACAGTTACAAAGATGATCCTAGAGTCGCCTTGAGGCAATGGGCACAAGGAGCAACAAATGACATTTAAATTAGATGCAAAGAAAACATTGTTCACCATGAGGTTATCCAAACAGTGGAACAGATTGCCCTGATAGGCCTTATAATCTCTGTTTTAGAAGATATGTCTTAGGAGAACTCATCCAGACAAGGCCCTAAGCAGCTTGATATAACATCAAAACTATCTGGTTCAACATCCTCCTCAAAGCAGGATTAATTTAGGCTGAAAGGGACCTTTTCAGGTTATGTGGACTGTGATTCTCTATTGTATGGAAATCTAGCAAGGAGACTTGTATTCTGCAGGTGTCATTGGAGTATAAGTCATTGTAAATGAATGGGTTGCCAATTGCAGTAGCAATATTCAGTGTTGGTGGAACCAGTTTTCTGGTAGTGCAGAGTGGATATTGTTTCAAAAACCTTCATTTTTGTTCTTCAGGTAAGTTTCTCTTTGTAGCTTCAATTTAGCAACTTGAAGGACTAAATTGCATTCCAGTTAAAAATGTTTCAAAAGTTTCCTGTGCTCATTTTGTAACATTTGAAACTTCTTAAATAAAGAACTTTTGCTTGGTGCATACTGAGTGTGTCTTCTGTTGTGTTTATTTTGTTGTTGTTGTTCTTTCAGATGAATTACTTGGTAACACCAGTTGTAGGATTTATAGAGGATACATTCCAGGCCACTCCTAATCCAGATGAAGTGAGTGATGTTTTTGTCATGCCATTGGAGTATTTCATCAGGCCCTTAAATTACATGGCCTTGCCTTATAAAACCTCATCTGGTTACTTAACCTGGATGCACTGCTTTACATATCATGACCATGAACGCAATAAGTCATTCAAAATATGGGGACTTACTGCACATTTTGCTGTATTTCTTGCTCTTGTAGTTTTTAGAACAAAACCTACCTTTGAGGTTGATTATGATCTTGACAACTTAATTTTATCTGCTGAGAGTAAGTTTATGAATTTATATGCATTTGTAAATGAAAAGAAGAAAAGTAATCTATGATGAAGTAGCGTGGCAATCAATCTGTACTGAAGGAGGAAAAGGACTTTGGTTTATTCTCTTTGTATCCATTATGTGATTGAATTTCACATTTGCATTTATGCTGAATTGGGAACATACTAAAGTTTAAATTGTCAAACCCTAACTGGATTCATATAATTATATCTATTTTAGAATTGTCAAATGCACACAGTATTTTTAATGGACTTAGCATACGGATTTGGAAAGTCTAGTTTAACTACTCCCTTTGCCTGTGATCCAAGACTGACTTTCTGTTTTGCCATTCTATTTAATGAGATAACACTTTTTTTTATAATTTGTCTGTTTGAATTCAAATAAAAACTTTCTGGTGTGTGTCTATTGCTGTGTGATATACTACATATGGGTAACATAACTCATACAGTCTTGTTTGGTATCTTTACAAGTAAGTGTAAGTGATTTTGTATCACTTAAAAATGCATAACAAAACTTTAAAAGGTGGCAGGTACTTTCATAATTTATTTGGTTTGGTTGGGGTTGTGGAGGTAAGGAGAAAGATTTAATGAACTCAATATTTCTCAAGGAAGTTTTCTAGGCCATGAAAAGCTTGGTGTACAGACAATGGTACAGAACTTTCTTCCGCAGCAACCAGTTAGCATCGCTCACTCAGCTACTAGAAAGAGTTGTCTTAAGGAGAAAAGAGTGGCATTCAGTAGTCATGAAAACTAAAATGAAAACAGAACTAACATCTGTAGTTGAATCTTTACTAGTAACCCTGGCAGTTTCAGATGGGTAGTGTGTTTTGCACTGTGAATCTTTGTTTCCTCATTGCTAGTGACCTAGAGGCTTATTCGTGGTGGTCATGGTACTGTTGACAAAGAGTTACATTTTTAAAAGCGTAATTGATTTTGGCTGGATTTGAGATGTAGCTTGGAAATAAATGGGCTACCATTCTTTATTATGTGCTGATCTTTGACTAATGGGTAAAATCCCTGTAGAAGTAGTAGCCACACTTAGGAAGAACACTTCTTTTATTTCTCACTATAGTGAATTTCAGTTGTGAAATTTTTTAAATGTTTAAAACAAAACAAAAAAAAAAGTTCATCATTATTTGTACCCTCAGTGGTTTCTCTCATTGCTAGTATATGCAGGAAAAGTAACTAATTAAAATAAGAACATTGTTAATTAAAATGGAGCAAGCTAATTGGACCTTTAATTATTAAACAAAACAGGTACCAAGAGACAGAATTACTAAATTACCATCCTCTGTTCCCAGCAGACTTTGTATTTCATCTCCCAATGAAACCTGGCACAGAAATTGTACAAATCGTACGAATTCAGACCTCATTTTTTTCTCTTCCCTGAAACATAAATGAAACAGTGTGTGGAACTATAAGGGCAAGAACAACAGTTACAGCTGTTTGGACTTCCAGCAAATGGAAGTCCTGTTGATATTTGGTACCAGATCAACCATTTGAGCTAATTGAAAAATGAGCTTGTAGAGGTCCAAAAAAACAAACATCCTTGAATGATTTGCAGGAAAGCCACTGGGGTCTCATGCTTTATGTTTTGCTGCCTACATAATTTTACTGACATTAGTTTTGAAATCTGGGAAGTTCTTAACTAAAAAATAAAATTGATTCCTTAGAGGCTGCTCTGGCAATTGAGTGCCCAAACAACTTCACAAAAAGAATAGAAAGTAAGCTAAACTGATGGTTATTACAATTGCAATTCCTCAAGTCACCCTTCTAATTGGAGATTTTTTCCTTGGGTACTCCGAATAAAATTCTGGCATGGTTCTTGAAGCAGAAATAAGAGGGTGACTATGCAATCCTTGTAACTAATCCATGTCCCATTCATACCCTTTTTCGTTTAGGAGGTGGGGAGTGGAGAGCATCCCAAGTTGAGCATCATAAAGTCTGTGATTCAGGCATTTCTCAAGATGTTACCTCTCAAGTAGGAAAACAAAGTATGTCTCTCTACCTCATCCTGGCTGAGTGCTCGGTGTAGCTGAATACCACATTAAAGGGCTGTTGCATCTACTGTGCACCTAATGTTTATAAAGGAGAGTATGACTGCTTAGTGTGAGATCAAACTAATGAAAAGGTGGATTCTCAGGGGAGATCAATCTTTCATGAGGCCTGGGGCTGCAGGAAAGATGTACAAACTGAAAAGGGAAAAGATCTAGCAAATGCATTGTTCTGAGAATTTCCTAGTAGAGAATGCTCTACTCTGCTTTGAAATAGTTCACAGCCCGGGGCAATTAATTCTCCATTGTATTATAAACAAAATTTTAAGCACCTTGAAAAGCAGGGCCTTTATTTTCCTGTGGACCAAGAGCCTTGCAGTTCAACACTGCAGTGTTAGAATGCTTAAGTTCCCTTTCAGATTTGCCTTTATAGCATGTAATAAAGCACTTTTCAAGAGTTCTGTGTCCCATTGTTCTGCCTAATTGGTCTTGTATTATAGCTGAAAATTATTAAAACAGATATGTATTTACTTCCAGTTTGAATGTAGCGTTTAAAGGACTCCTTATTTTGAATTACTGATTGCAAATGCATTTGTCTTGTTTAAGTATGGTATGTTAATATAGCTTCCAGTCTGAAAAGGTGTTTTATATGTATATATTTACTCTCTGTGCTTATTCTCATAAGCGAATAACTAAGGTCATTGCTCAATTGAAAAAAAAAATGTTAAAAATATATTCCAGAGCACACGTTCTAATTATGGATAAGTAATGCTAGCATGACAGTAAAATGAGTGCAAAGGCTTGTATCAGAACAAGAAAATTACTGATAAAAAAAAAATAAAAATACGTAGATACAGTTTAATGAGTTGTTAGTCATTCTTTTAGTTGACATGCAGTGATTCAGCATTTAACATTTCTATATAAGTTTGAGTACTCAAATAATCAGACTTTTGATATTTGACTTTTATGTGAACAGTTAAGATTTATATATACTTGATATGTAAATTGGTATTTAACAATTACAACCATAATGAAGAACTTCTAATCTAAATGACTTAAGGGATAAAATACATATAATAGGTTACATTATTTCCGTGTGAAGAAAAACAAACATTTGTTTGAGATGCAGTTTAATTAAAATGCCTGTAATTTACATTGCTGGAGTTCATACCTGGTTAAGACAGTTACACTTAGATGCGAATGTAACTATTAAAGTAAGATTACTTATATTCAGTGTATGCCTAAGTTATATAAATAGAAACAACAGAAAATCTGGAAGTGGTTGTTTTTCAAGAAAAGCTCTTGTGAGTGCTTACATGTCAATATCTATGTGAGATACCTACAGTGCTTCTTTTTCTTAGTGGGTTGCCATAGCAATGCAGCTTTCACAACAGTACATGTTAAAACCATCTCCAGTTGGAAAAAAAAAGAAACAAATCATAGTAAAAAGGGTCATTAGGTAATTCTTTATTCCCTCTAATTTTATTACTTCCCAAAATCTAATCTAAGAAATGAGAAAGATAGAAAAGGGAATCACATTTGTTCCTGGTTCCTTGCTGAAGCTACAGTTTTGTAGCCAGAATGTTCACTTTGTGTATGAGATCCTGAGTTTTAACATAAGTTTCTGTATTTTATGGACCAAAATTGACAACTAAATAGTAAAAGGAATGTTCTATTATGATAACTAGACTTACCGTACTGTATGGTTGCCTGTTTCATTGTACTTTGGATTTAGGGTAGGTTTTGTTTGCTTTTCAAAATGAAAAATGTGCTAGGAAGGAAAATATGCATGTGATAATGAAACACTAATGGAGAATAATCATCCTGTTTGTCAGAACCTGCTGCAGTAGAACTGGCTAGTGATTAACTAATTTTTTGGGGACACACTTACCTCTTCTCATCCTGAATTCTGTGATCCTTGAGACTATCCAGTCATGACTTTAGACTGTCCAGCCATAAGTTTATTGACCTATGTTCTTCCAATCTATTGTAAACCGCATTTGGACACACAGTATTTAAGATATACCCAAACAATTCATCGTACAGCTGCTGCAGTGTTTGTTTGCTAGCACAGCTGCTTTAAAATCTTTGTGTAGCTGTTCCTAATAAAGAGCTGGCATCCCCTTTTATGTCTATAGTAAAATCCAGAACTAATCGCAAACGAACACAGGAACTGTTCATCAGAGGAAAGCTAAATTTGTATTTGAGATCATAATGCTCCTCCAGAGTCCCTGCAAAAGTCTGATACCCAGTTATTGAACTGAATATGAATAATCCTGGACAGAGAGCTCTGTATATGTTTGAAGGTTTAAGGATGTAATGATGTAAATGTATATTCAAACAGATTTGTAACTGAACCAAACACCTGTAGGCTTGACAAGCAGGACATTTAAATAGTGTTGAGTTTATTTTCCATTTAAAGACAATGAATGAAAGGATTTTTAGTATTTTAATCACTGCAGATCTGTAGTTGGCATAAATAACAATAATTCCTTTAGTGCAATTGTACCAAATTGCATGCTCTTAGGCTTTAGTTTGTACAGCATACCTGCTTTAACTGATAAAATATAATTGGGATAATATACAGTATCTCGTAACTTTCAGTTCATTATTTTCTTTCTTAACATTGGCATACCAATTCCACATAATAAGTTAGTCTTAGATAACCCTGTTTCTTCTGGATGCATTAAAACAGTTTTTAAAATACTAGAGTGCCAATCTAAGTCCAAGAACACCATATTTTTAGGTCGTATACTGATTCGCAGATGTTTATGGGAAACAAACTGAATAAAATGGGATTGCTGTAGTTCAGTGCCAGGCTTCACTGCTAAAAATGGAAGTTATACAGAATTCGTTATTTTTGACTTTTGGCTACTAACCATCAAATTAGAAATGCGGTAACTGATGAATTGATAACAAATGTAAATACAGGTTTGCCACATCTTGGAAAACTGGGAACACCGTTTAACAGAAATAAAGTTATGTTAAACACCTAGTATCAAATTGTTCCTTACTTGAGGAAAAGAAAATAGGTCCATGTAGTGGCATACATTCTCTACAATCATCAGGCATGAAAGGGCTAACAAGGCAGCAAATCAGACTGATTGAGACCTTGTATTTGTGAGAACCTTGTAACCTGACAAAGCTCTAGAACGCTTCAAAAAGACCAAGAAGAAAAGATGATTTGGAGGTAAAAGCCCAAGAGACTGTGACTTAGCAATTCAATCCGGTGAAAGGAAACAGCAAGGGGCTAGTCTAGCTACGATTAGACCTCCCTTCTGAAAAAGTCCAAAGAATTCTTAAGATGCTAAATGGTAGGAAAGTGATGCGTCTCTGGAGAAAAGGGATGAGTGCCAGCATCTCAGCATACCACCACCAGAGGGTGCCACTTCCCAGGTGCTGCAGAACAAGCCTGGCTCAGCCTCCGGCCAGCACAGGTAAGCCTCGGTTAGGAGCTGCCATAAAAATCGCCTTAGATTGGCTCTTGGGGCCTGTGGGGCTGCCAGATACAAAGGTACTGAAACGATGTGATTTGAAGCTATTTGGAATGGGACTGCATTCGTTTATCTCCTCAGCATCACGACTGAGCACACAACTTCCTTTCTGCATGGCTCACGTTATAACATGCAGAGCAGTGTCAACTCTATTTACTGAATAATTTTCCCTGAATTTGTTCTAACATGCTAGAAATAAAAATACTCTTCCAATTCAGACTAACTGCATAAAGCTAGAATTCAGACTAACTGTACATCAATGGCTGAGCTAACATGAAGATACACTATAAGCCTGGTTTCATGTTTTTCTTTCAGGCTGAATAGCAAATCTCTAATATCCATAGCCTACCTCGTTCATTCTGTCTTTTTATTCCATTATAAGGCTGTTTAGTGAACCCACAGAAATACATAATTGATTTTCCTAAGACCTAGAAATGAACAATAAAGAACACTCTAGTAAGAAAAAAATGTCAAGTGGGAAAAAAAATGTTTGGCCTGAAAATTGTCTTCCAAATACATTCCTGTTACATAAAACTATAATACTGATTTCAATTATTTGAATTTGCTTTTGTATTTGCTCTAGCTTTGACTAAAGATAACTGATCACCACACTCGTTTGTGTACTACATTGCTCTGAAATTAAAAGCATCAGTCAAACATTCTAGTAACACTTTATTGAATAACATTGTTTGTTAGCTTGTAAACCAAGAAGAATCTATCTTGTTTTTAACAAAATACATATAATTATATATTTGATTTGTTTTCTCGTTAGGTTTTGTATATTCAGCCATTAAAACATGACATTTTTTTCTTTTTCTATGACTTTGTAAAAAATCACCTCATTTCCAAGCTTGTTTTCTCTCAGCTTTTGTTTATTTTGGTTATTAAGGATATAAAACACTGATGGCCTAAACTTTTATAGAAACTTCACAACCAGTTCCACTTTTCAACCTCTAAATCAAATTCTGTTTACAAGCCCTCCTTCTGAAGTTTAACTTCCACTATGATTGCAGCTTCTTAAGGCCTACATCTGTGTTTGGAGGCCCTGCTTAAGACATGAGCACATTTCTGTTGAGACAGAACACCATAGAAGTGTTTGCTCTTGAAGCTTACTCATTAAGAAATGTTAATTTCAGAAAGCAACTGGCATCAGATGAGTTCCTCAGCTACATCCACAGAGGCAAAAATGCAGCTGTGTACATTCTGTTGGCTATTTTGCACTTGGCAACTGTGCAGCCTACGGCCTGCTTTTTGTAAATATTAAATATTTCATTTACTTATTAAACATTAAGCAGGACAGACAGATGGTTCACGATTTCATATGGGGGGCCATCATATGGTTCCTGGAGCTGTATTGAGCTCAGGATATAAAGACATTTCAGTCACATTTAGGTACTGTGAGTCAGATCTGCAGCTGGTGGAAATTACTGCGGTTTGAGATACTCATGATTCGTGTACTGTGCGAAGTTGTCCATTAGAAAGTAGTCATGCTAAATTCTAGCTTTATGCAGTACAAAAAAAATGTGCTTTGTTCAACAGCTTGAAGTTTTCCTTGCTTTCAATGAAACTGATCAGATACATAGGACCAGAGCTCCTACTAAATTGCTAATCCAAATCTAAGTGCCTGTCAGAATGAGTCTCATTACACTTGAACAGAAGTCAGTCTTCCAGTGACCAGGGACTAAGAGTCCTGGGCTACCTTGCAAAGGCAGAGAAAGCAGAAGAACACTGAATTCCCTCACACCAGCCTGGGCAGAAAAAAACTCATCCTTTTCACAATTTCACATAACATTTCTGAAATTCTTCAGAATAGTTGTCAGTCTTTTATTTCTGTTCTACATAATGAAACTTTCTCTGGCCTGAATTCCTTCAGTTTGACACTTTCTATTGACTTTCAGGTGTATGTGTCTGAGAGCTACAGACTGAATCCTTAGGCTTCAGGCTTTCACAGTAGTACAATGGGATGACGCACCTTAAAAAACATATGTCTGTTCTCCTAAAGTGAGGACTCATCATTCTCCGCTTGAATCTGACAGCCCAGAAATGTGATGCTGAAATTCTCTTTTGAGAATATGCTATTTAAGTTTTATGTAGGTTTTTGGAGGTGGTTGGTGGTGGGGTTTTGGGGAAGGGGTTTGCTCTCATTCTCTGTGTTTCTAAAGCAGAAAGAATATTAGAGGTAGAATTATTTGCTTTTCTAATTAGAAGAACATTCAATTAGAGCAATACCAGGTAAAATCACAGGGCAACCTTGTTTAAAACTTTACTAGCTAAATCACTAATGAGCTGAGTCACAAAAAAAAATAATAAATCAATCAATCAAAAAGTGTGTTTAATGAACACACTTTTTTTAATGATCCCATTAAAAAAAAAAAAAAAAAGGACAAAAGTAGCTTAAATGTTTTCTGAGAGATAACTTATATTATTTGAAATTTCCAGTATCCCATCAGATTCAATATTGAAAAAAATTTACTTCAGTGAAATTTGTGTAATCTGTTCTGCACAAAATAATGCAAACTACATTAAGAGTCACTTAAGGTTCTTTTTATAATTCATTTTTATAATGTAGTTTCACTGAGAATTTCCCTGGGCTAAATAAGACTTTGCCATACATTTGATGCTTCTTTCAGAATCAAAAATCAGTCTGGGAACTACCAAA